CAAATTTTGAATAAAAACTGAATGCAATGATGTGGAGGTGCCAACATCTAATATTTTATTCAGAATAGAACACAAATCACAGATCAAAAGTTTAAACTGAAAGAATGTATCATTTTAAAGGAAAAATCTGTTGTTTCCAAATTTCATGGCGTCAACAAATCCCAAAAAAGTTGGGACAAGTCCATTTTTACCACTGTGTGGCATCCCCCATTCTTCTTACAACACTCAACAGACGTCTGGGGACAGAGGAGACCAGTTTCTCAAGTTTAGAAATAGGAAAGCTCTCCCATTCATGTCTAATACAGGCCTCTAACTGTTCAATCGTCTTGGGCCTTTTTTGTCACACCTTCCTCTTTATGATGCGCCAAATGTTCTCTATAGGTGAAAGATGTGGACTGCAGGCTGGCCATTTCAGTACCCGGATCCTTCTCCTACGTAGCCGTGATGTTGTGATTGCTGCAGAATGTGGTCTGGCATTATCGTGTTGAAAAATGCAGGGTCTTCCCTGAAAGAGATGACGTCTAGATGGGAGCATATGTTGTTCTAGAACCTGAACATAGTTCTCTGCATTAATGGTGCCTTTCCAGACATGCAAGCTGCCCATGCCACAAGCGCTCATGCAACCCCATACCATCAGTGATGCAGGCTTCTGAACGGAGCGTTGATAACAACTTGGGCTATCCTTGTCCTCTCTGGTCCGGATGACATGGCGTCCCAGTGTTCCATAAAGAACTTCAAATCGTGACTCATCTGACCACAGAACAGTCTTCCATTTTGCCACACTCCATTTTAAATGACCCCTGGCTCAGTGCAAACGTCTGAGCTTGTGGAGCTTGCTTAGAAATGGCTTCCTCTTTGCACTGTAGAGTTTCAGCTGACAACAGCGGATGGCATGGTGGATTGTGTTCACTGACAATGCTTTCTGGAAGTATTCCTGAGCCCATTCTGTTATTTCCTTGACAGTGGCATTCCTGTTTGAGGTGCAGTGAGGTTTAAGGGCCCGGAGATCACGAGCATCCAGTAGAGTTTTACGGCCTTGACCCTTACGCACAGCGATTGTTTCAGATTCTCTGAATCTTTTGATGATGTTATGCACGGTTGATGATGATAACTTAAAAGTCTTTGCTATTTTACGCTGGGTAACACCATTCTGGTATTGCTGCACTATCTTTCTGTGCAACAATGGTGGAATTGGTGATCCTCTTACCATCTTGGCTTCTGAGAGACACTGACACTCTGAGAAGCTCTTTTTATAACCAATCATGTTATCAATTGACCTAATTAATGTTAATTGGTCTTCCAGCTGTTCGTTATATGCTCAATTTCCTTTTTCCAGCCACTTATTGCTACTTCAACAACCATCAACATCAACGAGGACCCTCATCAGTACGCATACCGTGAGAACCGATCAACAGAGGATGCAATCTCCTCTGTGGTCCACACTGCACTCAACCACCTGGAGCAGAAAAACTCTTACGTCCGTATGCTCTTTGTGGACTTCACATCCGCCTTCAACACCATGATCCCCCAAACCCTGATGGACAAACTATCCACACTAGGACTAAGCCCCTCCATCTGCAACTGGGTACTAGACTTTTTAACAAACAGACCACAGTTAGTGAGGATCCACAACCTCTCCTCCTCCACCATAACCCTCAGCACTGGCTCTCCTCAGGGATGTGTGTTGAGCCCCCTTCTGTTTACTCTGCTCACATATGATTGTGCAGCTACCCATCCAGGCTGTCACATTGTAAAGTTTGCAGATGATACAGCGGTGGTGGGATGCATCACAAACAATGATGAGTCCAGCTACAGGCAAGAGGTGGAACACCTGGAGAGCTGGTGCAGAGAGAATAACCTTCACATCAATGTGAAGAAGACAAAGGAGATGATTGTGGACTTCAGAAGGAACAAAAACACCTACACCCCCCTGAACATAAGAGGATCTGCGGTGGAAGTGGTCTCCAGCTACAAGTACTTGGGTGTACACATGAATGACAACCTCAGCTGGAGCAACAACACCACCAGCCTGATCAAGAAAGCTCATCAGAGACTCTACTTCCTCAGACGGCTGAGGCGAGCTGGTCTGGGAAGCTCAGTCCTCACCTCCTTCTACAGGTGTGCAGTGGAGAGCATCCTGTGCTCCAGCATCAATGTGTGGCATGGAGGCTGCACAGCTGCAGAAAGAAAAGC